TAGGTGGTAACAATTGTTCCATGTTGAACAGTGGTCCTTTGCCCATGCAATTTTAACTTTAGAAATGAGTGGTGAATATCAAGGGAAGAAGTTATTCCTGAGTCTTGCTCAAGTGCTCTGTGAAGCTTTTTAGTTCAAGATTCAAATGATTTCCCCTCTCTGTTGTCATTCAAACATAGGTTTGTTCCAGCCATCGTTGTCACTGGGAGATTTAAGAGAATACGCTTAAAATTAACCTTCTGTTTTGTGAAAGTCTGTCATTTGGGCACACTGAAATCTCTACTTGAGTTAGCCTCCTGCACATATAATGTGCCTTTCAGCATAAAGTGATGAATTCTGGGTTTATACATAATGACTAGATTATTGTCATTCTCTCATTCAAAAATCAATTACAATAATGCTGTCCTTTTTCTGAGGAGTGTTCTGTCCCCTTGGTGTGGCTTGTACCCTCTGCTATGGCATATGGGAACCATGCTAATGTGCTGTGGAGCCCCAGCACAGATTCACGCCATTTGCAGGAGCTGCTTATGCTTTTCAGCTGACAGAAATCACCATGGAAATACAACAGAAACTACGTTACCCTTTACTATTTGAGTAAAATCAATCACAGTTATGAGTTGGTCTTGGGTTGTTGTGTTATCCCCCTTAGTCTTACTCCCATTTCTGCTACCTTCTTACAGCAGAACACGTTACTCATTAGTAGCATGTAGATATGGGAAACAAGAATGTTGAAATTGGGTTGAACATGTTCCAGATGGACACAGCTACACAGTATCAAAGAAGGTTGGGTCTGCACTGATTTCCTTTAAAATATTAATTGGAAGTGAAAAATAATTCCATACTCAACAATTCTCTAGAATTCTGAATTCACTAAACATTTGAAATAAGTATTATATTGGAAAACATGTAGCTAATAATTGGTTCTTAGAAATAAAACTGCCTAACCTGCTTTCCATCCTCTAAAGGCATTAAGGAACTAAAATTTGATTGGGGTAGGAGCCAGGATTCACTAACAAGATTAAGTGGTTACATGCTCCAAAGTTAAACAAAACCCAAGGCTGGCTGTGCATGTGCACTTAAATTCTCAGCAGAGAAGGCACCAAAGGCTTCTGACAGCACTAGGATGGATAAACTGGAAGATATCTTTGACCCTTTGTGCTTTGATTGGAGTGGAGATGCAGGAGAACATCTGTACATATTTAGAGCTGATAAGGCAGGCTTGTTGTGTTAATCGGACATTGATAATGAATTTTGGTAGGATGTTGGTGTTGCTGATGTAGGTGAGGAACAGGGTGTGAGGCTGGAGTGGGAAACTGGCCAAGCCTCATCCTGGTGTTTGTGGAGGGCAGAGGGACAGTAAAGCCCAGGTAGATGAGGCTGTGGTTTCCTCTTGTCTTTTCAAGTAGGTGGTGTGGAGGTGATAAACAATCAGATTAGTAGTATCCTAGGGAGAACTTTGTTTTAGTTTTTTTTCCAGAGTGGTAAATATGCATTTTGTAGGATTTAAACTACATAGAGAAGTAGCTGGCTTTCTAGTCAGAGAAAAGTGACAGGAAGGAAGAAAGATGAAGGATCTGTGAGGGAGTCAGAAGTTGCTAATTTGGGTAGAAGAGGGCTCTTGTTGCTCCCACTGGAGTGACAGTGCCTTGTAGCAGCATCCACCTTTGAGTGGGGCACATCTGCAGGTGCAGTAGGAAGGGCTGTAAAGAAATGCAGTTTATGAATGTTGAGCCAATAGCTCTAGCATTGCTGTGGTGCATGCAGTATAAGAAAAGACTAAAGTAGAGCATAAATGCAGAAAAGGTGGCAGAAGGAGCTGCCTTGTGCCATTTACAGGCTGAGTATTCAGTGGACTTTGTGATCTAGAAATAATTTTTCCTTTCACTTGCTGCTACCTCCAGGCTTGCCAATGTATGTGGGCCTGGCACTACACCCAGGTTAGTGGTTGGGCAGATATGCCGATAGCAGTACATGAGAATTGTGGTTTGATATTGCCAGTGTAAGAGAAACAGTGATTGTGCGAGTCTTGAATTGCTGGGAAGGGCAGTATGGGCCCAGGACACACCTACTGAGGCACCTGTGTGAAACTTGGCAAAAATGAGACTGCTGGAGCAACCTCTCAGTTATTTACCCCCACAGCATGCCTTGAACATGGGCAGTTTCACAGCATGTGTGGTCTGATTGCAGTGGAGCATCCTCCAGGCAGTCCAGTCATTGGTTCAGATTCCAGGACTATATCCCTTTCTCTTACAAGGCTGGTGTGGTCTGAAAGCAGTTCTATCAAATGCAGTAATTCCCCCAAAACATTGGTTTCTTGGACTTGAGTGGCTTAGAGCAGCCTTGTGCACCCCTTCCCTACAAACAGATGTGACAGAGGGGATGTGCCCCATGCTGCTCAGAGTGGCCCTGCCCCAGTAAGCCCTGCTCAGGAGTGGCACAGCACCTGGGCTTGCTGCCAGTGAGGTGAGGGAATTGGTGCTGGAGATCTGGCCCCTGTCCAGCCAGGGTGGAGTGCAGGCAGAGCAGGCATGCCTCATGCTGCCAGTCCCTGTGCAGATAAGCTCAGCTGCACACAGTCATCCAGGATGTGAACTTCTGCTCCCTCCGGGACTATTTCCACCTTGCATGTTGAGCAGAACAGAGGGATTTCTTGATGTGCAATTGAGGTGCCAGCAGAGGAGGCAGTTACAGCCTGAACAAAACAGTCACAATCATCTTCCCCTTGTAGGATGTGAGGGGAAAATCCAGATGTCTTTTATCTAATGTATTGAGTTTGTTCAGAGTAAGTACCAGATAAAGGCTGGAGGGGGGAGGATTGGTAGATGTCCTGCATGGGGATAGGTGTTCACAAGAAAATCACAAGGAAAGTATTTGCTTTTTCTCCTCAACCTTTGCTAAGTGCACATTTTTGTCAGCAACTCCATTTTTGGTTTTGTTCAGTCCTGTGCCTTGTTCTTTGTGGGTGAGTGTGTGTTATGACTGAAACATCTTAAACGTGAATTCCATTCTGGGTGACAAGAAACAATTCAATGAACAAGTGCTCCTTTCCTTCCCAGCCCAAGAAATGCTTGTGGAGCTTAGAGAAGCGTTTTGTGCAGGTTGTGTAACATGGTGTGCTGTAGGACTTACACATCAGCGGCCCGGCTAATTTAGCAGCTGGCTCTCTGATCTGCTCTTGTACGTCAGGAAAATGCAGCCTTTCTACTGGTTTTGTTATTGTTACAAATCCTCAGTATGTCTTCAGCTGCTACAAAGGGCAACTTTTTAATTAATTTTTTTCTTAAACTGAATCATATCACTGCTTGGACCAGTCACATTTTGTATGTGTATTCTTTAAAAGGAGCTAAATAAAAACCAGAAAACCTCAAGTCAGTGCTGCTTGGTCAGTGCTACTGCTAAGCTCCTCATTTAAGGAGAAGAAAGTTTGTTTATCCTCTGTACCCCAAGCACATGCATGCATAATTTATGCCTTGAGCATTTCCTTTACAAATATTCCTGCTCTGTGGGAGCTCATAGGATATGCACTATGCACTGGTGGGTTTCAGGAACGGCCTCTTTGAGGCCTGAGGCACTGCAGAAATCTCCCTGTGCTCAAGGGCTTTGCTTTTTCTAGATAGTCTGGTTTAAGACAGACTCTGACTTGTAAGTAAATGGCCAACTGCAAGCTGTGTTTTGAAAGAACCGTGGTTTTAACCAGCAAAGTGTAGGTCAGTGCTAATACAATTAAACATAAGTGTACCCCAGTGTCGGATGATCTCTAGTGTGACAATAGCTGGCTTTAGACTTGACAAAACCAGCTAGAGCTGTTCCATTTAATCAGTTGAGGATTTTCTTTATTTTGAACTTCCTTCAAAGGAAGCATTTTACTTCAATTGCAGATGTGCTCAATTCAGAAAAAAACCTATGCTTCTGCCTTGTATCTCTCTTTTATGCCTGGCAGCCTCTGAACTGACTGGTTCATGTGAGTCTAATTCTTATCTGACTGACTTTGGTGCAAATTAGGGGTTAAATCAATTATGTTCTCCTGCGACCTTCTGAATCAAAAACATACATGTATCTGTTACTGTCAGGGGTGGGCTTGAGCCGTTTTGGAAAAGCAGGGCTGCTTTTCATAAATATTTGTCTTGATTTAGTTTCCTGGGATATAGTTTAAATGTAAACTGCTCTGTATGCTTTGCTTTTGTGCTATCTTGCTCTATCACATCACACGGTCTCACGTACTATATAAGAGTATGGCGCTACATCATGCTGTGGTGATTATTTGAAAGGGCGTACACTCTGTTTTGGACTAGATAACTGTTATCAGTGCAGATAATTGCTGTCAGACACAAAATAGACTCAGTAAACAAACATTTCATTTTATCATGTGACAGATGCGTGCTGTTTTGTACAGTGTATTTGAATGATGTTCACTATAAATCAGCACTGCTTCAAAAGCAACAAATCCAGCTTGCCCAAATCCTTCCTGACATAATTACCTTCCTGACAGATAGAAAGTTTTCATTGTTATATACACATGATGGCATTTACAGTTGCAGATAAGTGTTTGACATAAACATCTAAGACAAACCAATTCCCCTGACCGCTGTCAGGGGTGGTGGGAGGAGGTTTTTTTGTTTGGTTTTTTGTTTGGTTTTTTGGGATTGTTGGTGGTTTTTGGTTATTTTGTTTATTTTTGGTTTTGTTAAATGGGGTTTTTTTAGACTTTATTCCCCTCTCTTTGTTTTTCTCCCTGGTAAAGAAAAAAATACCCTAAGTTTTGGAATTCATACTTGAAAATTTAGACTGTCAGAGAGAAATGAACCAATGAGTTAGCATATTCAGGATGACTTAGAAGTGCAATGGGAGTAAAAGTCTTAATTTTGTGGAGAATGAGCACAAAGCTTCTGCTTGTGCTCCTGTGGATTTTCTGAACAAAAGGATCATCATTATCTGACAAGTATAAACAATGCATTGCTTTTTTTCCTCCCAGTGATGTGTGTCTGTGTCTTTCTCTGCAGGTCCTGTGCCTCAGAGGGAATGTGTCTTGTCACCTGTTAACAATTCGCACCCAGTCCATGCCTTGCTGGAAAGCTTTACAGTCCTGTCTGGCTGTGCAAGCCGGGGCACGACGAGCCTGCCCCAAGAGGTGCACGTCCTCAATCTCAGAAACCCCAAGGAGGGTCTTGGCCATCATGAAAGAGAGGTAAAAGGGAAATTAGTTTTTCTCCAGATCCCTGGTGATAAGTATGTCTGGAAATGGGATTGTTATATGTTAATTTTCTGCATAAAGTTATTTCTGAATTGTCACCAAAGTACCACAAAGAACCATGTGCAATTTGCATGGAGACTGTCCACCTACACTTTACATGTCATGTGAATAAACTGCTTCCCTACCTAGCCACCCTCTTCATTATCTTTCACAACGACAAAGTATACTTAAAAAAGGTAGGGGGTGGGCAAAGGAAATAAGAAACAGATTTAGATCTCCCACAGGCCTTTGCAGAATTGGCTGTCTTCAAAAGCAGATCGTTTACCTAAATGTGTTGTAAATTAACATGAATACCTTTGGAACCCTGCCATGACCACTATAAACAAATACTGAAATTTAGATTCTTTTACAGCCTTAATGCTTCACTGAGGGGGGACTGCTGTACAGAAAGCAAGTGTTGCTGACTATGGTAGTCTAATTACTTATGTGTGCTGCACTTGGAGGCACTGGCAAAAACTTCAGCTGTTCTGAAAGCAACAATAGAATAAAATTTTTGATGTAAGATTGTGCCATACTGTTGTTTACTCTCAAAACACATCAAAACAGAGTGCCAAAGTGCAAAGAAAACATTGCATGCCATGACAGCTGAGCCTTTTAGTTCATATTCTTACAGTATTACACACACAAATCCTTACTACTGTGTCCTGTGGGAGCACCGTGTGGGTACACAATTAGAGAATTTGTAAAGAGAGAACAAAGACGATCTAACAGGGAGAAACTCAGGAAAAGAGGGTCTAAATCTGTGCTGAAAGAACTTTCAAGTGGAGTCTTTCTTAGTGATGTAAATGAAGGCAGATTCCCTTGGCCAGAATCAGTCTTTCCACTGACTTCAGTATCAGCCTTGTTGGGTTTGTGGTGACTTCAGCTCAATGTGTATTGTATGCATCCATGAAATTTCAGCTGTTGTGTTCATTTTCAGTGTATATATGGTCTTAAATGTCTAGTTTATGATGAGAAAAATTACTTACAGTTTTTTCAATAGATACCTTATTGGCTTTCATTAATCAAAATTGTCAGATTTTCTACTGTAATGAGATGAATAGAAAAGTTATGCTTTTTTGGTGGCACTGTGAATGAGGAACAGATATTTTTATATTTGGAGGGGGTAGTGGTGGTGTGGGAACTTGTTTTGGGAATTTTTTTTTTGTTTTGATGTTCTTAAAACCTTTCTTAGTATACCAGGCACTGGATGATCAGCCTGTTAAGTACACTGTGAAAGACTGAAAAAGGTGTAGGTACGATCAGTTCTCTGGACATGAAGCCCAAATTGTTGGGCTTTTTGGGTTTTGTAGGTTGTTTGCTTGGGGAGGGTATTTGGGGTTGGTTGTTTTGGGTTTTTTGAGCACAGTTTCCGATGAGAAATATATAGCTGTATGTGATTCTGCTGTAGATTTTTCAGTGCTTCTCTCATCTCCCAGGAAACTTTAAATCTATTGCTAAGTCAAAGGCAAATTTGGTGTGAGTAGATCTCGCAAGGTGATCACAAGTTTTATTGAAAGTGGGCAGAAGAGTGCCTGCACTCTGGGGCTGTGGTACTGGGGGAACTTGTAACTCCTTGGTTACTAAAGGGTGCCCAGGGCAGGCATGAAATGGGCTGCAGCTGGAGCTTGTACCTCCTGAGAGAGAGCAGCATGACTCAAGTGCATTTGCATAAGCCCAAATTTCCCTCTGGGCCGTGAGGCGGAGCTTCGTGCGGCCTGGCCGTGTGCGGCACAGCGTGAGCCAGCCACGCTGCGCGGGGATGAGGGCTGTGCCCTGCTGCCTGCTCAGGGTTACACAGTGCTGCAGTTAAACACTTGGCTTTGAGTAAAAATACTTGCTGTCCAGCAGAAAGAGGCTGCTTGAGGCTCATCAGATGTGCTTATGCTGAGAAAGCAGTTTGCCCTAAGCTGTCCTGTCTGTGTGCTTTGGGGTGTACTGAAGTGTAGGGCACTGAATAGATTTCAGCATTTGAAACCCGTGGCCTCCTTCTCCCATTTCCTGAGCAATTTCCAGTCACGGCCCTTGGAGATGGCTGCTCTAAAAATGCACAGGAAGCTGGAGCAAGGTTTGCTGGCAACAGTGTTGAGCAAAAGAGTGTAAACAACTTGGAAAGATCAGATTTTACTTATAGGATCAGGCTCAGAGAACAAAGCAGAGCAAATGTTATCTTTTCCATTATTGTAGAAACCAACTCCAAGTGGCCCTTTGTCTAAAAGTAGAATGCACCCATCACCTTAAGTTACATGAGCTTGATTTACCAGCTGAGGTATTTCCTGTTGCCTGCAAATGCTGATAGCAAAGGTAGAGATCTGTTTGTCATGTAGTATTTCCAGTAGACTCCAGAATAAAACCAGTAGTTTTGTTTGACAGCACATTACTTAGATTTAGCAACATCGAAAGCATGTTTAAATAAATCATGTATTTGTTCAGAGGTTGGCTGAAGTTTAATGATATGGAATGCAAGTTCTGAAAATCTTTAAGTGAAGGCTTGCTTTGGGGGAGGAGGTTGGGTTGTTTTGTTTTTAACCTGCACTGTGCTAGAATGCTGCTAAATTACACATTCCTTACTTGCTGGGAGGAGTGTAAATTTCCCCTAGCAAATCCCTTGGAGAGTTCATGCAATAAACATACTTGTGCAGTTATCATGGTTCTCATAAAGATGCAACATATGTGTATGCATTAATTTAACTCTCTTTGACACTCGTGTAGAATACACAGACAACAAGCATTTGCAAATTTAAGGGGTGGCTGATGAGGAGGAGAGTGCATGGCAGGGGTGATGCAGGCAGGCTTTTCAGTAGGGGTTAGTAAGATTTGAGTGCTTGTCCTTCCCTATAAACTGGGAGAAAGAAAACAAAAGACAGACTGGAGATGTATAGGAGTGTGTATTTTGAACAGTCTTTGCGAAACTGAATCAGTAGTTTACCACTTCTGTGTTATGGCAGAAATCTGGTAAATATAAACTCATATAATGAAATATTGTTATCACATTTATGATCTTCAAGGAATTTGTTTGTATTTTAATTCATTAATCCCATGGGGATGAAATCTTGTTTGTTGAGACTGGGAATATCTTCTTTCTTCAAGTAAGAACCCCCACAGTTCCAATCTCTTTCAAATATTTCTTAGAAATGTCTTTTATCACAATTCATATTTGGCCATGCTTTATCATAGGAAATAGAATACGGGTGCATGTAATAGCCTCAAGTGTTTATATTGAACTTGGCAAGAAAAATGCAAGCCTTTTTTGTTTGTTTTATTTGATCAAATATTCCTGGGGAAGTGAGTGCGTGTGTGCATTTCTGTACTGATCTGAGTCTCAGCTGAATGCCAGGAACTACTGAACTCTTACAATAACTTTCTCTTCGGCTTTGGGTATCTTCACTGCTTCAGTTTCTCAGTTTTTGGAAAAGAGATAGTTGCTTCCTCATGGAGCTGTTTGTTCTGAGGAAGAATTATTGTTTGCAGAGTAACTTGGAAACTCTAGAAATTTGCACCAGAAAAATCTGTATAGAAGAGCATAAGATTGTTCTTAAATCAAAGTCACTCTTCAAGTATATTATCAAGTCCTAAATAAATGGAGGATTCTTTTCTTATGCCTGTTGGTTGAATTTCCCTGAGCTTCTTCGGGCACACAGTTACAATTGAAATAGTTAACAGGAGAGAGGAGGGGCATATAAAGTTAATCTCATGTGAATACTTAGGATTGAATACATATGAATACATGGAATCAGAGTTCCTGGCAATGGATTCACTATTGTTTTCATTGACACCCTCATCCTCAAAAACTTTGAGATGTTATGCCTGATACAGATGTTTAACATGTGTTCTATGAAATGAAGGCAGGAAAACTAAGGACTTGTCTTTATATTTATAATTTCGAATAATGCTACTGAGGCTGTAATAATTTGACGGACCTTTTTCCCAATGTTTAATCAGTGCTCCTCGGCAAAAAGTGAATAAAAACAACTTTAAAATTTCCTTTGAGAGTAAACATGATATTAAAATGGCTGTTAGCTCCTGGAATAGGCTAGTTGTAATAGGCTGATCCTGAATTCAGGATAATTTTTCTGTGTCACAGTGTTTTTGGTTTTTACAATTTTGAAGATCTAGGTGAAGGTGATGAAAACCCAGTTCATGTTGCCTATTATGCTGCATATTTATTGTATTTCTCAATGTGTTTGTTTTAACTGTTTTCAGAAGTTTAATACTACAACAGCTATACCCAAGGCTATGTAAGGGAAAAATGTTTTGTTTCATGCTCAGGCATCCAGAGATCCAGGAACAGCCTTGAGATTCAGCTCAGATAAAGGGGCCACTTTCTGGGCATATTTAAAACATGCTGACCTGCAGCACCAGAGTCATGGTCAGAGGGAGCCTGGAGGTCATGTGCTGACCGCAGGCAGGAAGGGAATTCAAGGTTTGTTACTTGACAGCTGGAGTTAGTGAGGATTTTGTTACCTATTCATTTGTTTGAATAGATACACAGTGCTGCACGTGGGTATATTTAGTATTTCTGGTGGGTCAAAGGCCTTTGCTTTGAAGAAAAGTAGTTGCTGCTTTAGAAAAAGAAGCTTTGAGAGATAAAACAAAGCACTGTGCCTCTGCCAAGGTACAGATAAATTCTGAACTTAGCAACAGTGTTTTTCTTTTCTTGCCTCTTGACTTTCTGACCACCTTAGCTTGGCAGCAGTTGTGGGTCTCTAGCTCTAGCCGCAGACCTGCGTGTTTCAATGCATGTTCAGGGGTTTTGAACCTTCAGCCTCTTCAGCTGGCCAGCTCTCCTGTTATACTGAGCCCATCAAAGTTAATTTGATCACTTCACCCATTACTTCTTGTTCCTTGATGACGTGTGGCTCATGAAGTTGTGCAGACGCAACATAATCAGTCATCCTGGGTATACAGAATAACAATGGAGAAGGAGTTTGGCCACCTGCAAGACTCTCTGTCAA